ACAATAAAAAATTAAAAATAAAAAAAACATAAGAAAAAAAAAAGATGCAAGGAATGCTACACATGGGCAGGCAGGGAAGTTTGCACAGTGACACGTGGCAGAGATCAGGATCCCATAGTGGAACAACTAAGGAAGCAATGGTCGAACAGTTATAGCTGCTCTGGGAGGCTTCAGGTGCTAACCTGCTCTATCTCCCTAGCAAATCTCCAGCAGGAGGACCACTGTCCCTTCCATGACCTGTCCTTTTGGGAGACACTCTCACTGTAGGATTTGGCAGTGCATATATGAGCTGATCTTTTTCTCTGGCTTAGCTAATTTGGCAAGTTTTAAGAAAGTTTTTTTTTTAAAACCAGAAAATTGGAATGAAGCAGAAAATTTAAAAGAAAAGAAAAATGTCTTACTTTCAGCCTACTTAGTATAGTCCCAGGGTTTTGGTTGGTTAGAGTATACCTGGTAGCACTCCTGAGTCCTGTTCTAGTTTCTCTCCCAGCACTCAACTGCTCAGACCACTGACTTGAGCTAGTTTAAGCAGGGGGAGGTGGAGAGGATCCCTCTCCATTCATATCTTGGACTTCTATTTGAAAAGAGCTTCCTGGCAGCAGTCTGTGATGGGCCCCACCTCTGTGAAAGCATCTTGGACCCTTTCGAGTTTGTTTAGTCAGCATTCTCTAGAGGAACAGAATCCACAGGAAGTATAATTATAAAAAGGGGGCTTCTTAGGTTGGCTTATGCGACTAGAAGCTGGATAGTCCACAATGCTGTCTGTGGGCTGGAGAGCTGCACGAATCAGTAGCTGCACAGTCCAAGAGGCTGCAGCCCCCAAACAAGAGGGATCAATGGTGCTACCCTAGCTCAAGACCAAAGGCTTCTGGAGCATCACTGTTAGAGTCAGCTTTGGAAGGGTGAAAAAGCAAGAGTCTGATATCCTCAGATGATTGCACCAGCAATCCAGAAACCATTCATGAAGAATGGAGCTTGCATCTGCTGCTACTTCCTTCTTCTTCCAACTTTTATTCCATTCAAGCCATCATCCTATTGGACAGTGCTGCCCATGCTTTGGAAGGGTCTCCATTTTAATTGGCTATCCCACATGCCAATCATTCCTAAACATACCCTCACTGACACACGCATAAGCTTGTTAATCCTTGGCATCTCAATCCAATCAAGTCGACAATTCAAGCTAACCATTACAGAGTTCTTTCTGATGTGCAGCCCTTTTGGATGGGCCATTCTGACCTATTCTCTGGTAACCCTTCCTAGGGTTACTGATCAGCCCACTCTTGTCCTGTGGCAACCTCTGTACAACTCTAATTCTGAATCTTTGGAGTTCCTACTTTCATGTCAGTCAACTTCTGTGGCCATTGATTTGACTGAGAGACATTCCCCAAACAGAAACTAAAGGGAATTTACCCTAATGTCTTCCTCTGCAGAGTGTGCCAACCTCTCAAGTGGCATCCATCCGCCCACAGGTCCTGTCTTTTTCCAGCTCAGAAGTGAGTAGGTTTCTTGTTTTCTTTTTCTTGAGCACGTTTGAATGACTTCAGATGAAAAGGAAGAAAACTCTGAAGATTATGAAAGAAAAGGAGACAAGAGAGGCACAGAAAGCAAATAAACTATAAAGGGCTTCCCTGTGCGTTCCTCTCATTATAAAATGACTTCCTATAGATATGGGCAGTTTCCAAACTCAGTGGTACTAACAATGATTGACTCAAGGGAGGAACACTATAATGAATTTAGAAGAATGAGAACACAAAATTTATTGATTGATTTTTGTGTGTCAGTTGTTTTTACACACCTCCTATTTAATCTCTTTGCTTTATGGAGGAGGAATTTTAAAAAGGCAACCATTAAGCTGAAAGGCTAATAAGGTCAGAGTGGAACCCAGATGCAAGGCTGGCCCCACCGAGGGAGTTGTCTTCTCCCCATGACTGCATTCTGTCATCTCCACTTTTACCCCAGGTACTCTTATTTTGCTTTCCATGTATCCCCTCCGTTTTTTAGTTGGGCAAACCTATTTTGAGTTTTTATAAAGGAAGATACTCTCCAATTTAAGGAAAGGTATAGAAGACATAATTACATTGGTGCCTGGTTGTCACAGCTTCACAATCTAATATTATAAAGCCATCGTAATTCAAAGCACTGCTAGCTTGGTAATTCACTTCATTAATGGTGCTGCCTGAATAAAACATAGAGCAAATTAGAAATAAACAAATCCTTGGAAAGTATTATAATATATCCAGAAAGCACAAAAGGTGAGGCATATAGACAGAAGGAGAGAGAGAGAGGGGAAGAAAGTGGTGGGGAAAGAAATCATAACAGGATTAAGAGGGATTTTGTGAGCCCATATGTACACTGACCCAATATTTTTAGAAAGCATTTCTGAGAAATATTGGAGAATTAATTATGAACCTGTCTTGTTTATATCTTTACCTTTATACCTCCCTCTCCCTCACCTCCCACGTGCAATATACTATGAGAAATTGCCTGCCTTACCTCCAGAATAGATCTCATGTTTGCCTACTTCTCTTCTTTCTGATGAACACAGGTGTGGTGCAGTCTCCAGTGCATACCTATATCAGGTTTTCTTCTCTGGGCATGCAGAAAGGTTGCTTTTTTTCTGTTTCTCACCTTGCCATCATATGGGGCATTGGTTCTGGCCAATGATACATCTTACCTCTGGGCCCAGACATTCAGATTCAGGGTCAGACCTTCTAGCACTTTGTCCTTCCACAGCAATTATTGAAGCATATTGTTAAAACAAAGATATAGCAAGACTGAAATAATTTGAGTCCATGTGTTAGAGCCAATAGAACACATATAGCTATATAGAATGATTTATGATGAAGAATTCGCTGTGATTATGGAGACAAAGAAGCTCCATGATGAGCTGTGTGCAAATCAGAGACCCTGGAAGGCTGATGGTGTAGTTCAGGCCAAATCCCTGTGAACAAAGGGGGCCACTGGTGGAAATTCCATTCTGGCTCCAAAGACCCAAGAATCATCTGGCATAAGTCCCAGTCTAGATCTCACAGCCTGAGAACCAGAATCACCGATATTGGAGGACAAGAGAAGTTGTATGTCCCAACTCCAGAAAAGAGAGTGAATTTATCCTTCCTTCTCTCTTGTTCTATCTGGCCCTCAATGGACTGGGGTGATGCCCACCTGCATTGGTGAAGGTGATACTGTATTTTATGAGCTCCTGCTTGTCTGAGGCACGGTGTCAGGTGTTTTACAGTGCTTTGTGTAGGATGTATACATCATGGCAATAACACTGTGAAGTGAGGACCATTATCTTTGCATTAGAGACGCAGAAACCTATTCATGGAGCAGTTTAATAACATGCCCATGTCCAGGCGCCTCATTGTGTCCAACGCTCCAAAACCCATGTCCTTAGTCTGCTTTTGGTTTTGTTCTGCCTTAATTTTCCAAGTTCATAAAGCAAGAGCACCAGGCCCTTATATCACAGCTACAAGGCCAGCTTTACCCATGTTCTTTAGTCAAGAACTATTAATCTCTTGGATCTGCATGCTTCCTACCTGAGACAACATCTTTTTAAAATAAACACTATTTACATAGGTGGTAATTAAAACTGTTTAGTAGTATCCTGTTCATTATAAATATTAACCTCAAAATATGAAAACCTGGAAATATGACATCTTCAACAAAGATTTTTTTTTTTTTACTTTTTTTTTTTTGCAGCTTTACTTCATAGTGTAAACTGTTTGTTTTTTTTTTTAATTTAGACTCCTCAGAGGTGAAAATATCAATTTCCTTCTCCCTGGAGAAATCCAATAATAGAAAGAAAGTCAGACTTCATTTAGATGCCCTTTATCAATTAAATCTGATTTTGACTAACAATATCTTATACACTTTCATTTTAAATCAATCTTTTCTTTTAATCTCTTTCATGAAACAGCACATATCTGGATGAGAAGTCACTCCAACTGACAGAGAAATGCAAAAATCTGCAATCTGACCTCAATTCTTTATCTAACAGAACGAAAAGGTAAGTTCCACTCTTCACGTTTAATTTAATTTTAAATATGCATCCCCAAACATCTCTGAAATCATTTAGAAAATAAGACTCTGTTCATGTTCAGGCTTGACATTGGGCTCTGAGTAGCTCCTGTTGGTGACAAGGATGGACCAGGGACCAAATGGGTCACACTATGGAGATGGACCTCAACTTATCTGTCCCTAAATCTGCACTTATTAAGAAATACTGTGTAGTTATTTTAAAGGCCATCAATCCTTTTGAAAATATGATATGCATCCTGGACACGATCCTAGAAAAATGCCTCCTTGTATGAATTTTGGTTATAATTTCGGGTTAGTGGTACATCCCCATTCCTAGCCGCAGCCCTCTCTGACTTCCCCGCTTTGGTTTACAGTCTGCAATCTATATCCTCTTCAACCTGAGGGCAAGTGAATCCAGCTCCTTGCTTCACACATAGCGAGAGCCACTGTTGGCTTGAGATTCCGATGAGTTTTGATGGTACCTGGAAAGAGCAGAGTCTAACAATGTTGGACAAAGGATGTGCATTTGGTGCTGGGCGTTTGGCTATGCCTTTAATTTGCCAGTAAATGGATGAAAAAAGTAATCTGAGATTCATTTTTCTGTACGCTTGTTTGACAAATTTAGAAGCGTGTTTAGCTAAGAGGTATAGTTGATTTCATCATCCAGGGGTCCTTCCTCCTCCATATTTCTCTCTCTCTCTTACACACACACACACACACACACACACACACACACACTTCCTTTTCTAATATAGAAAATAGTGCTTTAGTGCTTGTGGGAGGAAGGAGTTGAAGCAGCCCCCAGTAATCTGTTCACTTCCTTCCCTGGGGATATGGGAGGCTGATACCAGAGGAAATGAAACCAAAGTAAGTAACCTCATCTAACCTGCTTTTCAACTGAAATTCTAGGAAAATAGATTTAGAACATTTCCTTGAAGGAAGACGCCTTATTCTTCAACTGTCCTTAGAAGGCTGACCTTTGGCTAAGGTAGCATTTATAGTAAATGGAACCCGTGACCCAGGAGGCAGGTGCCCCTGGAGAATGGCACATGGGCTATGAAACTCCTTGGGTACAAGCAACAAATGTTTCGTAATTTAAATTCTGCTGTGTGAAGAATCCCCTGAACCTCACTCAGAGATATCACCTACTGTTCTAGGTCGGACCCAGTGTGGGAAGACAGGACAGGAATGGCCACCCTTGGTGTCCCAGGCCTCTCTGTCTGAACCTCTTGACTACCCAGACTCTTGAATTTATTATAATGCTTCATGCTGGGTTTGAGCTCTGAGTTGAATTAGTGCAGTTCAACAACACAGGCCTGTAAATTGGCTCCCTTTATGATGGAAGGAGAGACCTGTTAGCATTTTTGTATGAGCTCTAATCTTGATAAAAGATCCCATTGTGATGAGTCCCCTCTGTTTACCCCACCCATGCCCTACCCCCCTTCCCTGTGGGATAGTCTTTGTCTTTGCCCAGAAACATTGGCCTAAGTGGACTTCATCAGTATGCTCTGGGCTCTTTTTTTTTAAATATTTTTTTAAGTTGTCAATGGGTCTTTATTTTATTTCTTTATATTGGGTGCTGAGAATCGAACCCAGTGCCTCACTCATGCTAGGTGAGCCCTCTGCCTCTGAGCCATAACCCCAGCCCCACTCTGGGCTCTTTTGACATCCTTTTATCTTTGGATTTGACCAAGTTGGTGCATGAGAAAGAGATTAGAGAGAGACAAGAAGGTAAAACAGCTCTCTCCTGGTGTCATCCTCGATGAAGTTACGGGGGATAAAAGGCCATGACTTTTATTCAATCTCTTTTTCCCCCTCCTGTTCTTTTATTGCCCCTTACTTTCATTCTCTTTTTTTCTCTCTCTCTCCAATTTAGGGGTTAGTTATTAATAGTCCTGCATCCTGCCCAAACCTTTGGGAATAGTCCCTCATTAAGGCCTTCTTAAATTCCACAGTTTGAAGGGCACTAGTGCCTTTTGACAAATGAATGGATAAAGAAAACATGGTACATATACACAGCAGAATATTACTCAGCCCCAAAGAAGAATGAAATCATGGCATTTGCCAGTAAATGGATGAAACGGGAGACTATCATGCTAAGTGAAATAAGCCAACCCCCCAAACCAAAGGCTGAAGAGAGGGTAGGGAGGAGAAAAAGAGAAGTTCATTGGATTAGACAAATGGGAATGAAGGGAAGGGAATGAGGATGGAAATAGGAAAGACATAAAATGATTCAGACATAACTTTCCTATGTTCATACACGAACACACGACCAGTGTAACTCCATATCATGTGTAACTACAAGAATGGGATCCTAATTGAAATGGATTGTAGTCCATGTAAGTATAATCTGTCAAAACACACTCTACTGTCTTGTAAATCTAAAATAAACAAATAAAAAAATTCCACGGTTTCAGCTGGCCGTGGTTCCTGCCTGGACCCCAGATTGCTATAGACTGTCTGGAGCTCATGCTACATGATGGTGCTTTACGTCTGTTTTGATTGTATTGGACCTATTGTTTGTTGGGTATGTGGGTGTTACAAGACCCAGTCCAACTTTCCCTGAGTGACTCTTCTCCCAAATATCTTGCACTACCTTTCACCCATCAGATGTGAAGGAGGCTTGGAAAGTACAACTGGGAACAGTAGGGGTTTGCTCCAGCATACCCTGTGGACCCCGGTCAGTGCTCGCCCAGTGTGCACATCAGCCTGACACTTGCCTTTGATTCTGTTCAGTTCTTTCATTGACATGAACAAAGTTTGCTCCACAAAGTGACGATGGTCTTCAACATAAGAATGATCCATGTGTGCCCATGTGACAAAGCACTCAGTCATCCTCCTCATCCTCCGGGTGACTTCTCTTATCACGGATGGCCTCTTTTTCAAGGCAGGGAATTTGACCACTCCTTTGTGTGCATCAAGAGCAGTGGCTAAGGGCAGTATGCTAATGAGAATGCCCAGGCACATGCTGTCCTGTTTGCTCTTTGGGTTTTTTCCCCTGTTGTTTTGTATTTGATGGGAAGACCTTTTCTCAGCTACTCTTTAGGGGGTTGCCTTTCCATTACGCACACAATTTTCAGCTAGCTCATATAATTAGCCTGCGCTGGTATTCTTTGCGGCAAAGGTCTAGAGAGAGCAGGCCTGAATTGCCCATTGTTGTGAAAGTGTTATTTTGCACACAGGAGACTAATTTTTTTCGGTTGTATCGTCTATTGTCAGGAATGGTGCGTTCTGCAACGAGTGCTATTATGGACTTACAGGGGACAATTGGGAAAGCCATTCAGTGGATGGTGATAAAAAAGTAATTTCATTTTCTTAGAAATAATTATTTAGCCCTATTTTTGTCACGGTCTGGTAAAGACTTAGAATTTTCTCTTTCTTCAGCCAATTTGTCCCTTTCAGGTTGCTAAAATAGAATTTAGAAAGACAGTTATAGTGGGAGGGAAATGGGTTTTTCTTTTTTCTTTCCTCTGCTAGTCTTGGTGCATTTTTGAATAAAAGAAAATTAAGCTTCTGCCATTAGGACATCCAGTGCGATATGATGTTATGGATTGTGATTATTTATTCTCTTTTTAGGACAGTGAGCTCCAAGAAGATAGAACACTATCTGTTTACAGTTCATCCCTGGTACTCATCATGGGCCTGAACACCAATTAGTTGCTGGAAAAGTGTTGAATAAACAAAGGAATGAATGAATTTCTCAGGTCGTCAAAACATTTTCTGTGCCATCTCTAACTTCTAGGTGTTAAAAACTACAAATAAATCCACAAACTTCAACTCCTTTTGGAAATCAGTTTTACCTTCTTTGATTCCTTCTCTTATTTCGTTTCTGTTTTCTGATTTTTTTTTTTAAATCTCATCCTTTTCCCCTGAAAGCTGGATATTTCTATGGGTTTTATCATTGCAATTCTTTTCTCTAGGTTATCTCCCAGATGAAAGATTACACAGTATTAAGAGTGCTATATAGCCATCTTATCATTGCTAGTTTGCTCATTTTTCAGTATGGCAAACTTATTGTTTGCAATTTTCACTGCTTACGACTTTTTTTTTTTTTTTTTAAATGGCTCTATGGATGTCCAAGCTGTCTATCTTATTCCTTATTGCTTCAGAAAAATGAAGTGATTTTTCTAAGAACAGATACTTCAGAGGTGCTGACCCAGGAAATGAACTTAATTCTCCTTCTTGGGTTTTTCTGCCTCTCTTGCTGGGCTAATCAGCTTTCCATTACTGTAACAAATTCCTGAGATAAATCAACTTGTAAAAAAAAAAAAGAGATTTATTTTGGCTCACAGTTTTGGAAGTTTCTGGCCATGATTGAATAGACACATTATGTTTAGACCTCTGGTGGGGGTACAGCATGTCACAGTGGGAGCATGTGGTGGAACGAAGCCATTCCACTCGTGACGGCAATACCGAAGAGTAGAGACCTGATTCCCACAGTGCTCTTTTAGGGCATGTCCCCAGTGACCTAAAACTTTGCACTAGATCCCACTCCTTAAGAATTTCCCACCTCTCAACAGTGTCAAACTGGGACCAGCTCTTTAACACATGGGCCTTTGGGGGGCAGTTTAAGGTCCAAACTATAGCTTTTGCTGAGCCTTCTTGGCCTTGTGGCCCTCTGCCATTATTATTCTAAGAATCTGAGATCTCAAGCAAATGTACAGTTGCATCTGTTTAGATTTTACCATTTAGTCAGAGTAGGTGAACTACACTAGCAAAATCTCCCCAAAATGCAATGTCTCAACACAAATTTTTTTCTGTTACCCAGGGTTCAGATCCTTCTTGATCTAGCAACTCTTCTTAGGTGGCTCTTCCCCCAAACTCTGACTTAGGTGTTCTGGCTCCTTCTGAAGCTGTTCCAGAGCAACCATCTTCAATAGGTGGTGCCCAGACTTGTGGCCAGAGGGAAGATAACATGAAAGCCTATCCTCCACACAGCTTGGAGGGGAATTAAATTACTAGTCACCACCCACATTCTGCAGGCTAGGT